TCTTTTGGTGGATACACTACTACAAGCAATGATTGCTTTAGCTCTGATCTAGTTCTATATGATATATGTGAGCCTTTATGCATATACATGTACATTGTATGTACCTTGAATATATTTGCTGTTTTAGGTAGGACATATTTCTAATTTTTTCTTAATTTTTACAGTGCAAAACGAGTGGAGGACATTGTCACTACCTGGTCTCCCTAGCAACGCCAGTCGCTATAGTTACTCGGCGGTCTCCCCTGACAACACTACTCTCCTGGTGTATGGTGGCTTCAAAGGCTCCACCTTTCATGATGTGTTGATGTTTAGGGTCGGAAGGGATTGCAGTGAGTATGATAGTGTCTCTTCTTGCAGTGGGTCATTGTGTCGCTGGTTCAATAACTCGACTTGTACTGACATTAGTTTGGAGAAGAATATTGGTAAAGAACACACACAATCTTTTTTCTTCCTCTCATTTTTATTTAATAATAATTATTATCATTGTTACATATTTTATTCCTTTATTCAGACACAGGCTCGTATTGTCACCTTCACATCAGTTGCTTATCATGTAATACCAGCAGCTCCACCGACTGTCACTGGATCAATAACAAGTGTCAATATGTTGATCCTACAAGCAATACCACAGCTGTTACATCTGCTACAGCTGTTACCAGCAATGATCCATCTTGTTCCGAGTCTAGACCAGATTCTTGTTCACATTATTTATCTTGTGTGTCCTGTGTAGCTCATGAAGCCTGTGGCTGGACTCAAACTGGGTGTACCTTCAGATCTAATGGTAAAGGAGAGGGAGAGAGGGAGGCATAACAATTGGAATACTTAATTATAGGACTTTTAATTTATATAGTCCAGTGTGATTTATTTCTTTTCTCCCTCCCCCTCTCTCTCTTAGATACAATCACCAGCTGTTCAGTCATTGCTGGTTGTTCAGGACACTCTTCTTGTTCATCTTGTAGAAGCCAGCAGAATAACAACTGTCTTTGGTGCTCTTCTCTTAATAAATGTGTAAATACTGGAGTCTATCCTTATCTCTTTCCTTTTGGACAGTGTTTAGGCTGGACTCAATCTTGCTCAAGTAAATCTTTACAACATGCATGTGTACATTATCTATTGATTTTTGAACAACTTTAAAAATTCATATAAAATTAAAACTTGATTGGAATCAGTTTAGACTTTCTATACAACATAAGAACATGTACATATGCATCAGAAACAAAGTTTAAGCCTCACTAAAGACAGTATAAGGATATGTCAATATCAAATAGAATCATTTATCACATTATTTCTGATCGTAGGTGTTACCGAGGACTGCAGTGATCATTTAACATGTGCTGAGTGTAGAACGGAGACTGGGTGTGGTTGGTGTAGAGATGAGTCTGATACTGGACTAGGGACTTGTGGTAAAGGAGGTTTCCTCAAATCTCTTAACGGATCATTCTGTGTTGATACTCACTGGTTCTATGATACCTGTCCTTGTAAGCTTATCCATATATTCAGTATTGTATTAACTCTATTTTTCTCTCTTCCTTTATTCCAATTTTCTCTCTTATCCTCTTCAAAGTGTGTAATTGCAATGGTCACAGTGAGTGTATCAATCAATCAGTTTGTCTTGACTGTCAGAATAACACAAGAGGTAACTCACAGTACATTATGTTCACATACCATGTACATCCACCCACACATGTACATGTATGTATCCACACACACCAATTGTACTGCTTCTATGATTGTCTGGTTTGTTCTCTTTAGGTGCTAATTGTGAATCATGTGAAGATGGTTATTTCGGTCGTCCTGTGAATGGACGATCTTGCTCTGGTAAGTCTTATATTGTACTTCCTCTATCTATACATGTACATCATTATGATTATTCTTTTCCTCCTCTTTCTCTTCCCCCAGTATGTGATTGTAATGGTTACAATACTGTCTGTGATAATTCCCGAGGTAACTGTACTTGTCTTGATGCCGGAGTGACAGGATCAACTTGTACTTTATGTAAAGCTGTTGAGAACTATCGGGGGAATGCATCCAACTTTTGCTACTGTGAGTTGATCAATAATGTTAAACAATACATAATGTATGCTTGGATTATAAATGTATTTTTTGTTTTTTTCAGATTCTCTTTCTGTTGGTTTTATTTATACTTTTTTATCTCCTGATGTTGAAACACAGAATTTCTTTGTTGCACGTCCTAGATCAGTGAGTATCATATACTGTATAATAATAATAATAATAAAAGTTACAAAACATTGTACCATATATAGCCTGTTCTAGTAGTTAGTTTTTTCTTGTTATTATGTGCCCTTTTCTTCTCCTATAGAGTAGCAGATTAAATGTCAAATTTGAGATATCTAGGAATCGTTTTGATTCATCTATTTCAGTCCAATATTTCCTAGGAAGATGTAAGTTGCATATCACATGACTAGCACACGATAACCAACTATTATTATTATTATTATTATTATTATTATTATTGTTATTATTTTATTTTCATTATTACAGCATCTCAGAATTATGCTATTCTATACAATGTCACTGATGTATTGACAATAAGTGGGACTAATTCACACAGTGAAAGATATGAATCCTTTAGTTCTGTTACCTTCAACTCGTCAAATCTCTTCTCATTTGCAAGACCTGATATTCAGAGCACAGCACAGTTTGGCTGGTTGTTTGGTAATTCCAGCAGTAATGACTTCACTAGTAACCTATGGGATGGGGACGTGGGTTTAGTTATTTATGTGTTCAATTTAAAACCAGACTTACAATATAAGGTTAGTGATGAATGTGAATAAAGGCATTATACAGTGTAGTAATGTATGTATACATGTATTTTTAAAAGTAGTCAAA